TTTAAATTCTTAATTGTTTGCAATACTTGATAAGGGCTTGTAAATAATCTCTTGCCCTGCTTATTTTAATTTAGAGAACACGAATATTTTCCTCTTTTGCATTTCTGATGGAGCTGAAATGATTATGGCTTTCTCAGTTTACTTTTTGACTTACTGTTTTGTTTTTACATCAGTTTGATGAATGGTGTCATTTCTGTGAATTGTATTCATTAGGTAACTGAAACTGCAAAGCCAACACAAGGTTTCACAACATTACTTATGTGTCATATTTAGAGTGGTTGTTGTTTGAGTTCTTATAAATTTCTCAGCAATAGAGTAGTGGTTATTTTGCGGGTTATGAGATTCAGAAGAAATTCCCTACTGAATTATAAGAAATTTCAATTTAGAGCTATTTTTAAAGTATTAGTGTTTTATTACCACAGACATACTGGGTACATCTACACATGCAATTAATGCAGCTGAATAAACTCCGATGCGGTGTGCACCAGAGTTTATTGCTCCCGGGTGCCACATCTTCATTTGCACCCAGGACTGCAGTATGTTGAGTTGGGTTGGAACAGTCCTGGCTGGCAGGGCCCAGGGGGTCAGCCTGGCAGCCCAGGGCTGCTCCGACCCAGCTAAACATGCTGAGGAGGGGCTGGCTGGGGCATGAGGGTATTCCAGTGCAGGGCTAGCTGGCAGGCAGCACCTGCACTAAACCATCTTCATGTCTGTACCTAGTGCTAACATACGTATTTCCCATACCTAGTGGGAAAAAAAACATAGGCACTGACAGTCTTAATTCAGTGGTGCAAGTCTGTGCTAATTAAATATTTCCCTGCCTTGCCTAGTAACACAAAGTATATCCAGGTGGTAAAGATATAGGTCAGGTAGGCAAATTTTATTCTCACTTCATTATTTATGGGCCATCAAACATCCTAGTACTGTGTCTATATTTCAACAACAATCTGATTTGGTCTAGTATGTGTGGTTTCCCACATATATCTCACTCTCTGGAGCCTGCATTGTGTCCCTCTGCCTGTGTTGATTACCTAACCTTGTTGCAGCCCTCATTTATCACGGTTTGGTGGGCTCCAGCTCATCAGAACATTTCCTCCTGGCACATAAATCTCTATGGCTACAGATTCGAGCCTTCCCTGAATTCCTTCGTTACCCTGATTACAGTTGGTTGTATACAGAACCACATATACTCAGCCTCTGGCCACAGATGATGGGATAAAGCAAGGAGCATTACAACTTGTTTACAAAGTTAAGGGGAAAAAAATCTGTAATATCATTATAGTTTGATTCATTTTCAGAGATGCCTTATTTTTTACTATTTCCTCTAGGGTTTTTGAATGTTTAATGGGGCTATTATATGCTGGCCTTTGGTCTGTATATATGCAAGCTCTCTTTCCCACTTAGAAATGGAGTTGGGCTCAGTGCAGTTAAAATGCATAATTATGTTTAAATAGACACATGATTCCTTAATCAGACACCACTATGTTCCTGAATTTCATGACATGAAGGAGGGAAGGGTGGCTGCTTGAAAAGCATAATAAATGTACAGATGTGGCATTCCAAATCTCCTCGTGGTGAGAGATTACAAATACTTACTGACCAAGTGGGAATGTAAGTTGTCAAAAGGCTTTTTAACATGAGGTTGTATGTTTTTTGAAACAATCTGGAAAGACAGAAGTCTGTGGTTAAGCATTCAGGGAAGAAAATGAGCCAGCACTGCTAGCTGGCTGGTAGGGGAAGTGGGGCTCAGCCCCTCAGACAGTCAAACTGAGCCTAAATCAACTGATTAGTGTTTTGAAACACTGTGGGGGGGGAAGCTTGGGGAATTAATTATTTTTAAAATTATATGTTTAAAAGATTTATGGACCTTTGAATGTGTAGGATTTTAGGCATGGGGTAGTATACAGTAGGCAAATAAACAAGTGTTATGCCACAAATTTTGATTCTTAATAAGAGACTATTATTAGTATGTCCAGCCACAACTGGCTGAACTTGTTTTTCTGGCCATGCAAAGGCAACCCTGTAACCAGAGTAATCAGAAAACCAGGCCAGCTTACATTTTCAATAGTAAGTAATAATTTTGGGAGCGTAAGGTGAGATGCCTTAAAAAAGCTTGACTTTCAGAAAATACTGAATCCTTTTGCAAATCAGTTTCTTTACAGTTGAGGGCTCAAATACTGAGATGCCCAAAAAACATTAATCATTGCTAAATCTTTCCTACTACTGCCTACAAGATAGGAATAAAAAATCGTATGTAATTAGTTTGTAGAGTCACATTCACTAATATTTGTAAAATCTTGAGATCCTTCATTGGAAGTTGCTTTAGTATTTGTATTATTTGTAATTATCCTTAAGTTTTTCTACAGAACAAACCCCTAAATATCTTTAGTTAGCAATTACCATTTTATGGATAAATCCCTTTCTTCCATTTTGAATTCTTTTTTTTTTTAAACAAAGTCCACTTCTTCCTGGGGCTAACAATGTTGCTCCCTGCTGATGGGGGATGTGGTGAATATACAGAACAAATGACATCTTTTTTCAGGCAATATGAGAAATGAATGTCTGACATCTAATAGTGAATAATGCTGAAATTCAACAGCCACAGCTCTGCCAAATTTTATTTACATGGGACCACATCCAGTACAGAACTTAGGCAATTTTAAAGTTAGACACCATAATGCCTAACTTAGGTCCCTGTGTACCCAAATGGAATGTAGAGCCCTGTAATAGGCTCTCTAGCTAGTGCTTGAGGCAAGGTAGACGCCCCAGAATGGGATACAAAAAAGAGAGCATGCTAAACAGGGAGCCATCAACAAAAGGAAGCAATGAAGACAGGGGCTAGTCCTTAATCCCACCCATACCCTGAATTCAGGTGCCTTCAAATGATACCTTCTTTTAACTTACATCTGTTTCATGCAAAATTCAGAAACAGTGTTGGGAGCAGGGACTGGAACCCAGGAATTCTTCTCCCAGGTAAGAATCTCCTTAGGCTAAAGAGGAAATTGAACCCAGGTTTCCTGCTCTAACCACTAAGCTATTCTATAAAAGGGGGTCCATTAGTACCACCTTTTCCTCCACTGATTGTCTTAAAAGAGAGCAGCGGCTGCTCTTATTGGTGAATGACAGACATACTCTGAGAATGTCAACCATGTCAAGTTGCCTCAGGGGACTCAGACCAAGTTTGTAGATCAGATTGAGCTTAGGGAACAAGGGGTTCAGCCCTGTTAAAACTCAGGTGCTTCTGAACAGGTCCAGGAATAGAACTTTTAGGGAACATTAAAATCCCAAACTGAAATACTGATAGAATTCAGTTACCTCTAGGGTTAGGTGGCAACTAAGTAGAGGTTTTCAGCATCACCGTTTTGGATTTAGGCACTAAAATTCTGTCTAATTCTACCAGGAGGTGCCCATGTTCTTTTCCAGATCTCACCTGTGTATTTCTTATCTTCACATAGTTTTAAATTGTGTTTTATTAGCATAGTTAGTAATACGAGGTTAATTTCAGGAGCATGGCTTTTAGCCAGAATCCTTAATAATAATAATAATAAATTAATATGAAGTTAATAATAAGGAATATTTCTTTTAATAACATAAACACTGGGCACATCTACATGAGATGTTTACTGTGGAGCTGCCTTATTAACTCTGCCGTAAAACATCAGACTTTACACATACAGTGCTATTAGGACAGAATAAACTAATTAACTCTCACAGGATAGTACTTGTATTTACAAGTACTATCCTGCTGCGGGGTTTTTTACTCCACAGCAACGCCGCATGTGTAGGTGCTGGAGAGGCTGGCTACAGCACTAGGGTGCTTCAGTGTGGGGACTGTCTGCTGACTAGCTCCACACTGGGGAACCCCCATGCCCCAGCCAGCCCCTCCACAGCACGATGAGCCTGGTCAGAGAAGCCCCAGGCTGGCAGGCTGACCCCGGACTCCTGCCAGCTGCGGCTGCTGTGACCCAGTTTAACATGCTGCGGACCCAGGTACATATGAGGATGTGGTGCCCAAGAGCAATAAATGACAGCGCAAGATGCACCAAAGTTTATTGCTCCATGGTAATAGCTGTTAGTTCTGGATATGATTTTTCTTTTGAACGTATTTTTCTATACCTTTTACAAGATAGGAGGCCTAAATGAGCACAAGAAGCATTCTTTCTGATACTACATATTCATTTTGTTCGATCAATTCTGTGTAGAAAGATTTCTAGCTGGTTTTGTGCGTATACATTACCAGAAACCAAAATTACTGTGTGCTTGAGATAAAATTAGCTTTTTGAAATTCCTTTTCCCCTGTAAATAAAAATAGTAAAATCCGCCTCTAATTGGCCACCTCAAACATCACAGAGGCTTCCTGTGTACAGAAGCCATGCTTTTAATATCTATTTTCCCTTGCCTTTAAAGAGTGGCCTTTATTTGAGAGTTTATTATAGAAACATTTAAATTAGAGGGGGGCCAAAGCCACAAAGTTCATATCCGGATCTTGATACAAATTTTCCAAAGTTGCAGAGGTACTTGGCTCCAGAACTGTAGTTTGTCCCATTAGAGACAATGGGTAGACCTATATAGTATCACGCAATCCCATGCAGAGATCCCCTGCACTAATTACAAATGACTATACTGCTTCCAATTTCAGAATTAGCATGTGGAGACTTAGCCTGTGCATTTCTACATGGCCCTGACTTACACTGTATAGACATAACTATAAGTTCAAATCCAAATTCATATTTCAGGGATGTTCGAATCCAGAATTTTGGTTCTGGTTCAGCTTTCATTATACCATGTGCAAACTATTCAGTGGAGCTGTAATGGGTTGGCAGAGAGAGACTGTTCCCAATTTTTCTTTTCAAATGAGATAAGTAATGTAAAAATGCTGTCCTATATGCAAAATAATTATGAGTGAGCGGCATACTATGAGGAGATCCTCAGCCTAATTTATACTATGTCTCAGTCTTTCTCACCAGAATCCCACAATAACTCATACCTTTATTTTACAGGGCTGGGAGAGGGTTCTGCTCTTCTTCATCCAGACAGCAGATCCCATCCTCGATCATTAGAGAAGAGCGCATGGAGGGCTTTCAAAGAATCACAGTGTCATCATATGCTGAAACATCTTCATAATGGGGCCCGAATCACTGTACAGATGCCTCCCACTATCGAAGGGCACTGGGTTTCTACTGGGTAAGCAAAAAGAAAAATAGATTGTTTGAATTACATAGGGAAACATACACACTCTTAAAAGAAAACACTTTTATAGAGAGACGCCAAAGGCTTTCAGGGTACACCAGAATGGTGCCTTGTTATACACCACTCTGTCATCTTCAGTTTGAAATGCAACAGACAATATATTTTTAATTTGATTTCACTAAGTAAGGAAACAAAATATTGTTAAAACTTGGTCATTACAAAGAATACACTGCATTACAGTCAACTACATAACAGTAGATCGGGTAAACAGATCTTTATTTTCTGAGCTTTCTACATACATTGTTTCATTAGCAAATGAAATTAAGAAACTGTGCTACCCCCACCCAAGTATGCATAACTACTTATCCTAATATCATGACATTCCATCAGTCCTTTCTCCAAATGTACTACACAAAAAAGAAAATATTTATTTAATGGGCTGCCATTGCTTCTAAAGAATTACTTTATATGGTGGCCCTAATACAAAAAAGCATATATGAACCAAAATATTTTCTTTAAAAATATCAAAAAGTAAATATTCTAATGGATGTGGTCACAATTAAGCTTAGTTTCAAACCATCCAATGAATAAATGGTTGATAAATGAACTCCCACCTGTCACTTTACTCAAGGAGCAATTATTCATAAAGCTAGGCATTTTTTTTATCCATGTAAAATGGTGTTAACTAAGTAAAGAACAGAAGAGATTCATTGTTATTCCAACTGGGCAAGTGAGAGAGAGAGAGGAATGGTCTGTCACAGGTTGGTGGGATAACTCAAGTTTAGTTCCCATGTTTTGTGTGACCTTGGGCAAATTATTCAGGTCTCCTGGTATCAGAGTTCCCAATTTCTAAAACAAAGAGGGGAATACTTCCATATTACAGGGGTATTGTAAAGAGCTCAGATCCTTTATTATTTGGGGCATGTAAGTGCTTTATGTATCTGGACTGTTTTGTGCCATAAAAAGAAAATAAATTGATACAGTAATAATATATTAGTAAGCACTAAAAAGCTTTAACCAATCCTATTGATTGTAGCATGATAGCCTGGCAACCCCTCTAAAATATTGTTTTATTTCACTTTCGATCCTCCTACAGCTGCGAAGTTAGATCAGGCCCTGAATTTATTACAAGATCTTACAGATTCTACCACAATAACACCTTCAAAGCCTATCAGTTTTACTATGGTGGCAACCGCTGCACTAACCCTACCTACACTCTAGTTATCCGTGGTAAAATTCGCCTTCGCCAAGCATCCTGGATCATCCGAGGAGGAACTGAAGCTGACTACCAGTTACGAAACATTCAGATCATCTGCCACAGTGAAGCAGTAGCTGAAAAGCTAAGTCGACTGTTAAATCGAACATGTCCTGGATTTGTACCAGCAGGTAGTCCTTGGGAGCAGGATGTGAACTATGACTTGTGGAGAGAAGACAGTGGCTGTGAATGCACCAAGGCTCTGAATTTTGCCATGCATGAACTTCAACTGATTCGAGTAGAGAAGCAGTACCTACATCACAATTTGGATCACTTAGTGGAGGAGCTATTTCTTGGAGACATCCACACTGATGCTACTCAGAGGATGTACTATCGACCTTCTAGTTACCAGCCTCCCCTTCAAAATGCAAAGGTACACACATTCATTTTTATGTTACAAGAGACAATTCCATGTCATTCCATTCTTCCGAATCAACAAATTTATTAGACTCTATACGCAGATAATATTCTAGAATAAAAGCTAGACTGAAGATAGCGCAATCAATGTAAATATTTTAAAAATTGCATAATTCAGGGGCATAGGATCCCATTTATGGATGATAAATCAAATTATATTAACAGTGATGGTATCACACTGGGGCATTATGAGTTTTGATCAATAGGAGGCCAGGGTAATTGAACAGGAAGTGAGAGCTGTTCTGGGAATGAAGATGGAGCCAATCACTTGAAGGAGCCATGAGAATGGCTAGAGAGGTGGTTAAAGTCTGAAAGTTAGCAGCATAGAAGACAGAAGATTTGGTGTGGGAGTTTGAAACAGGGAGAGGTTATAACAGATGGGAATGTGGTGAAAAGGCAACAGCACAGCAGAAGAAAATAGAATTTTGTGAGTATGTGGAACCAGGGGAAGACTGGAAGGTAAGGGCAAGAGAGGGGCATTATGAAGGAGGAAGAAATTGCCAGACTATGTGGGTCAGGGATTCAAGCCTCAGACACATTCATTACTAGAAATGAAAAGCAGGTGAATTTTGAATGAGGCTATAATTCCATTTTAGGATTCAGTTTTCAAAGGGTCCCTCTGTCACTGGGATCAAACCATACTGAGTTAAATAAAAATCACACTGGGAGTGTGTGCACTGGTGTGCTTTTGCAGTGGATCTTGTCTGCACATCTTTTATGATGACATGTCAAAGGAATGTAGCAATTGGAACCACATTTCAGATTTCAGTTGCTACTAATAGGTGCTAGACAGAGACAACTTTAGGATTATTTCCAGTGGGCATGTCTACACATGCCCCTGACTGCACATTTGGTAGTGTGCAGTCATTTAACAGGTTTATTAGACTTTACACCTAGATAATATTCTAGTGCAAGTACTAAATGACTATGCAGTACCCACCGGTACTCCACAGTCCCAGCGGTGCAGTTATTTTTAGACGCTGCGTCATTACGGCGATGTAGCATCGGCATCACACTTTGTGCCTACTGACGCTACATTGCCATAGCATCTCATGTAAATGTGCCCAGTGAATGGTGGAAACATGGTATGACAATTGGTGATTTTTTTCACTAAAATTGATGCAAAATTTGGCCACAACATTTCAAATGTGAGATGAGACACACCATGGGAAGAGAAAAATTGGAGAATAAACAGGCAGGCATTTCTACTGAGCCATAACTCTTTAAACCTCCCTATGTTGGTTCCCTTCCCCACATCCCCAGAATTCCAACAATGTGTCATCTATACCTCCAGATTCTTACTAAATGGCAGTTTAAATCCACAGCTTTCTATGGGCTTATACAAACCTTGCCATTATTTCGTCATGCCACCTTCTTCTCAAGTGGACCCAAAACAACTCGTTTTGTGCTTTCCTATAAAAACAATTCCAAAATAGTTTTTAGCAGCAGCACCAGACACGTACGCACGCACACACACGCCATTGATACACCTGAAAACAATTTTAATTTTCCCATCACCCTGATTAACTAAAACAAATAACATTCACAGGTTTCTATTTTGGATTTGCTTTCTTTTAGCTTGTTTTGTAAGGAGGGTGTAAATCTTTGCTTTGATATGGATCCTTAGATACAACTTGTTCGACACCAGTTGCTGTATGTCACATTATGCTGGCAATTTTTTTAGGTATGTTTTAGAACTCCTGGAACAAAGACAAAAAGCTGGTTTCAATATAAACAGCTGAGATTCTGGTCCTGCCCCACCAAACCTGGTTATTCTCATATTGGCAGTTACATATTATGGTAAAAATGATTACATTTCCTCTTAATGGTAACTTCAGTAGAGATTCAGTGTTAGAATGGCTAGGTTTACTGTGTAGCTAGATATACAGAAACAGGATTTTGTCCAGTTCTATTGTTATCTTATGACAGTTTGGTCACAATTCATGTGCTTGGCCCCTGTGCTGCAGCAGCACTGCTGGACAGCTCACTTCTCAAACGTAGTGCTCTAGGCAAGTCTCTTAGCCCTATGTCAAGTGTTCCCTGTCATTACTGTGGTCACGCAGGATAGTCTGTCCACCTTATTATGTACATGAAGTTTGTATACTGAATTCACAGTCCTTTCAGCTCTGGTAGAACAAATTCTGCCTTCAAAGGCACAGGCACAACTCCCCTTGAAAGCAATGGGAGCTTACTGTGTGGTTCCAAAGCAGCATTTGGTTTTGTATGTCTACCAGAACATCCATACATAGATGAATGATATTGGAGTTCAGAGATATATGGTAGACACTGGAGTTCAGAGTCTCCAAACATGTCGACAGGCAGGGAGTTTGAGGTGAGGGACAAACACAACATTCAGACCAACATAATGGGCATTCAGAACTACCAGACAGGTGATGAAAGCTCCTAAGCTGGGCCAAATTCACCCATTCTAGTAGAGAATTCCTCTGAAAACATCAGGAGTAAAATTTAACCAGTATAAGTTTTGGCAATTGAGGTTTATCTATTTGAATCCATCTTAAGGTGGCCATTTGTTAAAGGCAGATGTTATTTGGTCCTTGTTACCTAGCAGTGAAGCATTAGTAATAGCTGCCTATTCTGAGCTGCACTGGAATAAACTGTATGGCTCTTCTTCTTTGATCCTGGTATAATTTACCTCTGTTTACAAAAATCAGTATAAATTACCCAAGGGTATGTATTCATGTGTCCATGACTAAAGGCTGAGTTAATGGTACTGGGGTATCATTCACATAAGTATCACTGACTACAGAGAATGACAGCACTGTGCAGGAGCATATTCATTCTAAGTATTCTTGGGATAATCAAACACGCAGACAAAAGAAAGTACTGGGCAGTAAAAAATAGAGCAGCAGTGTGGGCAACCAGGACCTATTTCTATTTCTGGCCTACAATGCAACTCTTGGTAAATCATTTTGCCTCTTTGTTTCTCCTCCATGTCTGGTCTGTTTGGACCACAAGTTCTTCAGGGTAAAGATTCTGTCCTTTGATGTGTTTGTACAGTGTCTAACCCCATTCTCAGTTGAAGCTTATGACTGCTACTGAAATACAAGTACTTAACAGGACCCTTGCAATGCTTCAGTGTGGAACACAGAGGAGTCTGAATATTTTTAGTTTATAGGTTTTGTTCATATTTTTATGAATTTTTTTGAAATGGGATGGTTGGATATGTAGATACTAGGCTTGCCATTACAATGCAATCAGCAAGACAAATGTGTGTGTGTGGGTATGCATTAGCAGACATAAAAGGCTTCTAAGAATTAATGTGTGTGTAACCATGACTATTCAGTATCAACCAGTAGTTAACCTGGCTGCTGGTTGCACTGTTTGCTGAACATTGGAAGAAAAAGATGCATTTTTTAAAGACCACACAAAAATAGCACTGAGAGGTTATAACCCTTCTTCTTTGAATTTCTTTCTTTTTCTAATTGCTAATCCACAGGGACAGAGCTGAAAATGAGTTTAAATGCTAAATTGAGTTTAAAACCACTAGTCACAGACTCCTCTAGAAACTGGACACCATGAATAAATAGAAACATTAAATCAGCTTGTTTTTTTAAGCTTTCTACAGTCGCACAGCAAGAATAGAGAGGCCAGAAAATTGCCATTGATGTGAATCAGGTGTATTGTGTGGGATCTTTCATTTATGGCTTGTTTCATTTTCTTATTTATGTTATATATAAAGACCTGGCTAAAATAAGAAGATTCCCATTCTACGTTAAATTTATAATTAAGCTTCCATGAAAAAGATTGTTCCACCCAGCTCAGAAGTTTATATAGCCTAAAAGTTGGAAGCAGTAGTCATATTCATTATGTATGTGGTTGAACTGAATGGTAATTAAAAGCAAATGATTGCTGGGTAAGTTAGAAATGCCAAAGCCTCATGATCTGACTTTAAACAAATAGAATTGGGCCGCGTCCAAATTCCTGCAGTGATTTAGCCACAAAATGGTAAATCAAAAGGGCTGTCCAAAAACCAGACAGCTTAAAGCCAAGCTACAAATCTGAATACATTCACAAATTCCCGTATCTTAACTCAAGGGAACAGATGAAATTGGGGAGCTTTTAAAAATATCTAATATGTAATCTCTTAAGGCTTTACAAATTCTCTTAGATAAGAGTCTACCTTAAAACCAATTCCATCTTTAATACATGTTGATGTCTGTGAATTGAACTTAGTAGCAGTGGATCAGTATACATACTTTTCAGTTGTCTTGTCATTCACTGAAGGTAATTAATTAGGACCCAATTGTGCAGGGCTCTGGCATCCTCCACTTTTCTGTTGTAGTCATTGAGAGATTCAGGGCAATGTTCTGTACCTTAAAAAGTCAACTGCTTATACAATACCACAGAGAAAACAATGTAGGAGCTGCCTTAGTTATGTGGTAACAATGCATTGTACTGTGTCATATAGGAGAAATAACTTTAGGGACTTTTGTTCATAGGTATCATGTAGCCTGGGGAGATGATATGGGATATTCAAGAACCCTGAAGATCTGCAGCATAAAGAGATGAGGAGCTGCTTAATCATGTGCAGCATAAATGCTCCTAGAACATTGGTTCTTAACATTTTTAGACTCAAAGGACCCCTAGGAAAATGCCAACTCCTGGTTTGTACTTGTTTTTGACTACAGGAAAACAAAACAATTCTTCTGGTGCAAACAACTCAGAAAGACCACAAAAGAGAAGACTGTTTTTAACACTGCGGATTCCTATTTGAAATCCCTGGGTTTATCACAGGAATCATGTTGGCACATCTAACAGTGCTAACACTGTGTGGCACCCCATGGCATCCTTGAAACAATGTCAAGGCACCCCAGGGTGTCGCATCACCCTGGTTGAGAATCACTGTCCTAGAAGAATCTTATTGATCTTAAAATGTACCCATCTCTTATGTATAATTTAACTTCTTTTTTTAAAATAAACAAGGCTACAAAGACC